AAAAAAAAAAATAAAGAAAAAGTCACGTGATGCACGAGTGCAACGTCCCACACACGTATTCCCCATCTCGTATCTCAGACTATTTCCCCACCCCCGGTGAAAATAGTCTGGCTGATGGAATGAAGATAGAAATAAAACAACATGTATACAGTCTGTAAATTCTCGATGCGATAAATGGTATGAATGAGGTCCCCTGATTCTCCAGTTCAGTCTCACTGATACTAGCCCATTTTCTTCCTTTACCCACTTGAGAAAATTACCCTTTAAATTTCAAATGGAAAAATTCGATATTCCACTTTGACGTACTATTTGCTTTCTATTATCAGTTATTTATTATTTTTTTCATCCAATTTATACTGGGGGAGGACGAGAGAATTTATTCTATTCAATTTGATCTATGACTTTTCAAGAGGAAAATTATTTTCTTGGAAATCTGAATTGTTCCACCAAGCAATTGTTAATTTCAAATGTATTCGTAGCGTAGATGATAATAGGAGATAATAAAACATAAAAATGATGAGAAAACAAATTTTGATAAATTTCAAAGATATGAAAAAAATGAGAGAATTGAATCAGAAAATCTCATAATCGAGGCATCAAATGCATCTGCTACTGATAATCCGCAAAAACTTATTCCTTGAGACATCTCCAGTCTCAAGACAATTATTTACAAATTCAATAACTATTCCCTCAATACTCCATCGCACCGGTTACATAAATCAAAGAGACACGTGACAAATCGAATATTATATTCTATCGCATTGTCAGACGATTCCTCACAAGTGTCAGATTTTCACGTGAACTGGCGCCCCAGGTGATTAGCAAAATGGAAAATCGCAGGAACAATTTTCTTTATCACTGATCTATCAATTTTCCAACCAGATAAAAATTAGAATTCATAATTAACCCAATTAGACGCAAGTGTCCTGTGTGTCGAATCAGATAATAATAATCTCCCAAAACAACTCACAACATTCATAAATAAATTATAATAATTAATTATGACTTTATAGTCGAGTTGTGGTGGTCAGTAATTTATAGCGACCGACTTGAAAACTTTACGGACGTTTATTCCGTCGAATCGAGTCAATTAGAATTATTCCCTTTGGGTAAAACTTGCTCTAACGGAGAACTAAAAAAAAAAAAATAACTTCAGGCAAGAGTTTCGTTTGTGGAGTTCAAAGGGGTTGAAACTTTGGACATGTTTGTTTGGGTGAATCGTTAATCCCAAGTTGTTGAAAAGTTCTAGGGGTTGAATGATTTTTTTTCAAAACATCCAGTCGAATAAAAAAAAATCCACAATTTCCGGTATTAATTATCCAATTATTTTCCCCCAGAGAAATTCGCTAAAAATAATTCCAAACTCGTGATTCCCCCATTCATCCTGCGGTTTTCTTATCACAGCAATAAAACCTAACGTATGCGCACTTGCGTACTATTTTATCTAGTAAAAAAAAAGAGGCGAAAAAACGTCAGCTCATGCTGATGAATAAATGCATAACCCATATCACCAGTTGAACAAACCGCAAGGGGTTGCACTGGAAAAAACACCGGATCATTCCGTAAACATTTGAAAAAAAAAATAAGCCCGAAACAAATCTAATTAATCACTTCTTCAATCAGCATAAACCTATGCCCCCCTCCCCCCCGGCGACTAAAATAAAAAATGAAAAATTCGTAATCAGCGTACCATAATTTTTATTTACGCCAATCATAAAATAACATTCGCGTCAAAAAAGTGGATAATTTGGGTCACGAGATAGAGAAATAATTTTGAATAATTCATGGTGAATAATTAACCCGGGGAAAAACCCGATGATAAAATTGGAGGTTTAAAAACTACGGTGTGAAGTCGGTTTATATCGGATATCGATTCTGATTGGTCGATGTGTAGCGTGAAGTTTGAGGGAACAAAAGCGCGCCATTTTCAAATAACTCAGTGGTAAATTCTGATGATCGAGTTCTGATTGATCGATGTTCGACAGGCATAAAAATCGATTGTATATTTGTTTACTGATATTTTGTTACTGAATTTTTTATTAGCGAAATCAATTATATTCACTCTGATGACTGAATTGATTTTTATTTCCATTTTTCTTCACAGAAGCAAAATGGCGCCTTCGGTTTATGCAATTACTCATAATTACCGGCAATCCAACGATTGATCGGATTTCTCTGAAGAATTTATTCAGAGAATCGTAACAATTTATGAATTTTTCATTTATCATTCGTCATCGCATTTCGCTCTCATAAATCCGAGCGAAAAAAATGAGAATTATTTGTGTTCCAAATAATTAATTTTTCAATGGATAATCTGTTTAATATTCAATTATCAATTAGAGATATTAGAAAAATGGCACTTTTTTCCCTAGTACCATAAAATCCTCTTTTCACACGTGTATCTAATCCCATTTTCTCTACATGACGAAAGTTGGCCGAGACTTTTCGTAGAGTGCAATAAAGTCGAATTTTTTGACTAGTACCAAAAAATTTTCTTTTCCCACTGAATGCAATAAAGTCGGATTTTTTCACTACAACCATATTATCCTCCATTTCCCCGAATCTTTCAGAATTTCCGAATAATTGACTGACGAGGAATTTCCCGAGTGCTGTATTCTCACTAACCCATGCCGGTTTCAAAAGATTGTAAACAAGAAGTCGAGGGGGAGGTGTAGGGGCCGGCGTGCTTCGAGTTATTTATAGAAGTCGATTATTGTGCAACAAAACGCGGCTTTACGTAACATCGTACACACGCCAGTCGGCCTGTCGGTCACTCGGCCGCTCTTTTGCGAAAGACAACTTTCCTCATTCCGTTAGCATAAAATGAGAGAGAGAAAAAAAATATATATCCAACTGTCCTCCCTGTGCACCTGAATATTCGCAGGCACTTGGGATTGTCACGAGCAGGGGAAAATAGCACGCGATTGATCAGAGACACCAAGTGAATTAAACTCGTGCACTAGGGTAGAAGACGGAAAAACACGTGTTATATTTTTCTGACAGGTTGACGTACCCGACGTCCACTCGTTTTTCGCATTAAAGTTTCGCTATTTCAGAGTGTACGATTTTCCCATATGCATTTACCATTTTATCAGTCATGTACATCGGCCTATTTACTACCCACCATTTCAATACACCTTTTAGCCGTGTCGATTGAATTCAGCGGGTGGTTGTTTTTTTTTTCGCGGATGATATTCCAATTTTTCATTACTCTGGTGAATAGATTTTTGGCTCGATCTACTCACGCGATAAAATGCGAGAAATGTATATTTGAATGTTTTTCGTAATTGAGTGAAATATCGAAAAATATTGATTTCAGGTAAAAACTCTGGGTAAATTTTTTGTAGCCTATTAAATTTACAAGGAAAAATGTCTGATGACGGTCGCCTCTAAAATCCACATTTCCCGAGATATATCGATATTTTCCTCAACTCAAACCCCAAACAGGAAAACAAATCGCGTTGTTTTTTTGCGAATATCTCGAGATCTACTAGAGATACGTAAACTTTTATCATGACCTCTTTATCCGAGATCAACAAGACCTACAAAAAAGCTCCCCACAAAAATTTCTCTATCTCCCCTAGATTCCGAGATATCCCCTGAAATTTCACCAATTACCTCAATCGACCCTCTACCCTCTGCCAAACTGTGAAAATAGAAAAAATTCTCCGAGCTCGTTTGATTTAATGGCTTTGTGATCACGTGAATAATAATTCCGCGAAATGGATGGGAGAAATTGAAGAATAATCGGGCGTTGGCTTCGCAAAGGGGCAATTGCCGGAGGAAATGTTGAATTCGCGTGATTATTTCCATTCTCAATTGTTAAAAATTTCGCAAATCTAATTTTAAAATGAAAAATAATGAGAGGAAATGTTTGATAGGGGGGAAAAGTGGTCGGGCCGGCTTCCAACAGCTGATCCCCGAAGGGGGGAGGGCAAACCAAAGACACAATCATCCGTCATACCGTGATATACGCCTTTCCCACCGCGTCACTCTCATTACGTCACTATCGCCTGTCCCGTTTTAAATAAAATTTGCAAAAACCCCGAGCAAATCGTCTTTATCTCAGCCATAAATGAAGGGAAAATGCTGGGACTTGATAAACCCCGGGGGGAACAACCGGAAGTCGTTAAAATTACGGAACAAAAAATCAGAGTGGAAAAAGAAATTTCTTTCTCTTTCCCTAAAAAAAATTGCTCATTCCAGGGGACGCTAACTCAAGACGGCTCAAGTGAATTTGAAAAACTTGAGTTTCGTTTCGAAGGAATTTTTTGACTTCAAAATGACCTCTGACACGTTAAAATCGCATCGCTGAAACGGGAGATATCCGGGATCAAGTGACAACCCGTCAGCACCAAAATCACCAGGAAAATTTCTCTCGAGTGTTGAGCCAATTTTCAACCCAATTTCAATCCTTCGAAAAATATTTATCCAACCCCGAGAAATCCTGGTGATGTGTTTAATAAATTTTCAAAAACTCACCCGAAAAACTCAGTCTCCTGGTCTTCGGTAGTCTCGACAATTTCCTCGATCAGAATCCTCTCGTCACCACCAAACACTGACATATCTCGTCGTTCCTCACCCACTTTTCACTAAATTTCACTAGCTCGTCGTCGACGAAATAACTCTCCAACAACCAATTGAAAAGAAAAGAAGAAAAGAACCCGTCACAATTCTCCAAAGATATTGGACAACTGCAACTACAAAGACGAGTGGTAAAAAAAAAATCGTCAATATTCTGTTCCTCCACTGAATCCCAAAAAAATGATTTTTTCACTTGTTCTCGGTCTATCCACTGCACTCAAGTTAATAACTCTTGCAATCCGAAACACCTGGGTCTATTAAGCAGTTTCAAATGTTCAACTTCACTCGGTTTTTTTTTTAATTAATCCAGGGGTCAATTACTCGGAATTGATCCGTATTGGCGTGCCCTCAGGGCGCCAGGAAGCGCCGCACAACACCAACCGATTCACTTGAAATAAATCCCCACCTCGCGATTTGAATGTGACGGTAAAATACAGAAACAAAAAATTTAACGAAAATAAACAGTCTTGTTGGTTATCTCGTAAAGCACAAAGTCGATGGTAAATTTTGTTTTCTCTTTTTTTTTTTCTTCTCCTTTTCGGCGCGTAACCGAGATTATTTAATCCACGGGGGAGAGCCACTCCGGCGGCGCACAACACAACGCCCGAACGCGTTTTGTAATGGCGATCTTTGGCGGGAAACAGCTGAGGGCCCCCGCGAAATTCGCCCGACGCGAATCACCAGGATATCACTCCGCCGCCGGTAGCCAGGGCTGTAGCTACATCATTTTTATTGACGAGCTCACATTTTTCACCGGCCACCACCTGCAAATCAAATATTTCATCAATTCAAAAAAAATCTATCTACTTCATACTAATACTAACAAGAACTTTGATAATAATAATTTTTTTCGCATGATAATCGAAATTTTCCATTTATTTTTAAATAATCAATATTTTTTATATCTCTTTTTTTATTAATAATTATTGCAATAATTATTATTTTCAATTTACTTTGTATTATTTTTTCTTTCTGTTTTTTTTTTTATTATTTTACAGACTTGAGAATTGTTATTTTTTAATTCCTATAACTAATGCTATGTTCATTCCATTGTTTGAAATTACCCAGAGATGATTGAATGAAGAATTAAAAATAAAAGACATGTTGTTCTAATTTTCCTCAACCGATTCCCCAAATAACAAACGAAAAATAAATCCAAGAGACTGATGAACAAAATGGACACTTCCTGTGAATAATATCAATTGTCCTTCGATTAAATATTATTTAGCCCTTGATTTTATTCCGGAACGACGAATAATAAAAAATGGCCGAATCATGCACTTGCCTCGTATTTCCACCCACTTTATTGTGTGCTTTTATTTTATTTCATATAAAAAAATAACAAAGAAAGGATTAAATACCGGTTTAATTAAGCCCCGAACACTTAAAAATCCTGGAGCCCTCTGAATACCCCCGATAAACCAAGCACAAGCCGCAAATAAAGTAAAATTCAAGTACAGACTTGTCACGTCCTCAACAATTCACCGAGAATTCCCAAAACAAACAGTCACCTTGTTTACATTTTATTACAGCACCGAGGTACGACAAAGAAAGGAAAACAAAGACCAACTCGCGATCTTACCCACCCAACGGAATCCAGAATTCCATCCAACAATCCCAAAAATAACCTCAAAGTCCCAAAATCCCCTCCAACGCCCCGCGAGCAACAAAACAAAAAGCGATCGCCAAAGAATTCTCAGAAATAAAAATCCGAACAAAGCCGGCAAAAGGATGTAAACCCAAAAAATAGAAGAACGTTCATATCGTGAAAGTAAAATGAAATAAGCTAAATTACCCCGGGTGCGTTGTTCCAGGCGTCTCCCCTGAGCAGCGAAAATCGTTTGTGGTGAAAAAGTCGGAAAAATTATGAAAATTTTGAGAAAATCGCGTGATAAATGGGTGGAGAGTCTCTGACGACAATAAATTAACTGATAAAAACAATCAGGAATGGCTTATTGTTAGTGAAATGGTGTAGACGACTGGGGACTACTTGACTGTCGCGTGTTTTTACGCTAACGTTGAGGTGCGACCGCGCGGGAAACATCTGCCAGCTGTCGAAGGCCCCGCCCATCACTAACGCCGACTAAATCCCCACCACAGGTATCCCCACTAGCGCCCCTCTCTCGAAATCAACCTCCCCCTCCTAAATACGAGAAAGACCAGTTCTTGGGGTGCGCAGTGCGCACTGCGCACTTCCTACGCCAATTTTCTCCCGAGGATTTCACGAGTTTTCAATCTTACGCACCACCTCGGGGTCTTCACACCAAAAATATTTGCAACAAAAATTTTTCATTAAAAAAATATGAATGGAGATGGGGAATAATTATATTTTAATTACTTTTGATGGAAAGGTAGGGGAAAATAGATTTGTTTGTGTGGAAGATTTAAGATTTTATTAATGCAATTTTTATTGGTATTTCGAACATAATTTGTGATCAAGTGATTATTTTGTTGATTCGGTTCTTAATGGTTTTTGAATGATAGGGAATATTAGTATAGATGTAAATAAATATTTGTAGACATCTGGGAATGATTATTAGGGTGATGGATTATTAATTGATTTTCCAGTTTTTTAAAATAATTTCTATAACAAATAAATGGGAATTGTTAATCATTGAATTTGGGAATAAAAGGAGAAAATTGGTTGTGAATGGAAAATCAATTTTTTTAAGAGAATTGCCAGTTTCAATTAATTAGAAGATATTGATTATTTAGTCGAGAGCAAAAGATAAACCATCGGGGGGTGGTATTTAAAAATTGATCACCGGAACAACAATTGTTGCCCGGTGGTATATCTGGGATAAACTTCAAACGATAAAGAAGGAAATCCGAGACATCCGGAGTTGTCAGATGCCGTTAGCCTCTCATTCCTCTCCATTATAAAAAAAAAATCCCGAAAACTCAAAAAAAATATGAAAAATTTTATGAAAACCATCAATGGAAATATTAAATCTAAAATTCAAAAATCCGAAACCGAAAAATTCTGCGTGTAAAACATTTATTCCTGTATTCCTCATTTATAAAACCATAAATACAGAAAGAGTCTGAAAAAGAAACGAGACGATTTCTCATAAATACTGCGAGATTCCACTATTGAATTCACTCTGCCATCGGATAAAAATACGTAATTGCCATTTGTCTTTATTAGCGATAAATCATTAAACATTTACTGTAAATTATATCGAGGAGTAACTTAACGTAACGTAGAATACGTGATTTTGCGTAATTTCTGATGAAAGTCTCTCACATTTTTATTCCAATTGAGAAATTATTTTAGACACCTGCCCACAGATATGACCAACCCTAGTTATTTTTGGTTGCCCTTTTTTTATTTCAATCTGTTCGATATTTTTTGCACAAATTTTTCACCTTAATCATACCCTAACGTAGATTTTAATTATTACTATCAAATTAATGTACTCTATACCGTACACTTTCTCCTCAACGTAAATAAGATCATTATTGCCGTGGAAAATAAAACCATTAGCTTAAGAGGTGAAAAAATCATCAAGTTTTCCTGGAAATCTATTTTAGGACAGAAGAAATACATCATTTTCGCAATTTTCACGATTTCCACGAGTTTCCACAAACCTCACAAGTCGAGTTATCGGAGTTTTCGGTGAATATCTCAGAATCTGAAAGAGTTATCGGAATTTCTGTATAAACCTTTTTCGTAGGTCTCATTCTACTCTACAGAAGAGGTCCTGATGAAAATTTCGGTATCCTTCTGTGATTTCAAAATATTCCCCGAAAACTTGACTGGGAAACATTGACTTCAGCCTTCACCTCTTGGCTATTGAATGATTTAAGAACGAGATAGAGATTTAATTGCCTTGAGCTCTCTGTTTTTTGTATGAAAATTCGAGTTATGTTTCAGATCTTCCTTCCATTAATTAATCAACCATTATTCATTATTTTGTTGTTCACGAGGTTCTGGAATAAACAAATTCGACCAGAAATCCATGATAAATTCGATTATTTCCTTGAAAAATTTTAATCCTATTGCATCTGTACAGTCGCAGTAATGCACCAGTGTAAAAATAACTGTCCTACGGTGGAATAAACTCGGCGTGATCCCAATAAATAAAGTGCACTCGAATCGAGACAATTAAACAATTACCAACAGATTGAAAATCGTTTGTTTTCACCTGTTCGTGATTTGTGGTCGCTTAAAAGCGTAATTATCTCCCAAACGACTGAATCCAGAGAAAAACATGAAGATAACTTTTTCGTAGCCAACGAACTTCTCTACGAGAAATGTCCCACAACTTTTCCTCTAAAATCACTCATTACGGAGATACTTCGACGAGTTTTTCCACTCCACTACTAAACAATTCCACACATTTCCATTAAATCCTACGAGTTAAAATCTATCGGACTGAATATTAAGTGCTGCATTGGCTCTCAATAATTGCATACTTCAGCATTAACTGCCACTAGATATAATATTTACAAGGTCGTAGATTACAAGGCCATTCTTATTCCCATATTTACAACGATTACTCGGATAAATGCCTTAAAACAATTCTTGACTCCTTGGAGAGTGCCTATGGATCGAAAAGCCAGGGATTATCACTTTTTCCACCTCGAGATGTCAGTAATGAAATGAAACGAAGAGAGCTCGAGCTCAATTAACTATTGCTTCAGTTCATTTCAATGGCACTATATTTATTTCACCATTAATTAACCAATCGGCAACCAAGTGACAAAATGAGATGATTCGAACTGAAAATGTTTGTAATTATCGATTTATCTCGAAACCCATCGATTTCATTAGAAAACAGCAGAGAACTTTTATTTCCAGAAATTGCATAAGCTTCAAGAAAGTCCTCTGAAGTATTCATGTGAAATTGATAGTTTACGAGATAAATGGACAATTAAAAAATTGACCTTTCAATTTGTCGTGCTTTACCCCTTGTTTACTGAAATTTTCATATGAAAGGGGGAAAATAACGTGAAAACAATTCTCTCAGCACCTCCACTTCACGAGAAACATTGGAACCCTCAATCTAAACCAAAAATATCCACCTGAAGTCACTTCCCTAACAAATATTTGCCTTCAGAAAAACAATCCCAGTGGAAAAATCAAAGAAAAATACGCAATTATTCACTTATTTGTAGTCACACGCCTTATCTTATTCCATGATGTCTATCCTACGTAAAAAAAAAATGGATAATTCCACGACGAATAATCGAAAAGTACCCAAAATGAAAACTATTCTAAATGTTCTATCTTTGTTATAATATTTTTTTCAGTCCTAGTTTTAACCTTTCCTGAGCTGGATTAACTTTGATTTTCAACTGTTGTATCAGATCGAATATTTTCAATGATGGGCCAACCTTGAAGCCTGTTAGATCTATGATTTGGTCCTTAGTTAATGTGAGTAATGTTTTACCGTCAATTTTACGCTTGCTAAAATTGTCACAGTACGTTGCACAATCATTGACACGTAAAAACTGGGCAACATCGAATACATTCCACTCGTTCGGTACTAAGTCACCATTTTCGGTATTTCTGTGCCAACCATCCGCTATTCTGGGAATGTATTTTCCACTTGTTGTATTCACCTGTAAACAAAAACAAAAACCAATGTCGAAAATCCGTTGATGTAGTAATTCCAACAGTTCTTTCTCCACAACAAATTCCCCTGAATTTTCATAATCCCCCAGTTCAAATTAATCAATTAAAAATGTCATTACTCAATACATCAATTAATTAATTAACTCCTAAAACCTTCCCTTTCTAAAATAACTGATAAATTCAATTCATGAATTTCGATTTAAAAATAAAAAATTTAATTGAAAATGAAATATCGAGAGAACAATAGGAATTTTTCCCAATTAAAAAAAAACTCACATTAATATAAGAAGTAGCAGTCCTCTCCTTCTTGGGCACCTCCTTGTCGACCTCACCAGCCCCCTGTCCACTGGTGGGACTAGGCAACATCTGATCAGGCCCCCCAGGTTCCTCAGCAGGTTCAGGTTCACGTTTGACCTCCTGAGGAAGACTCTCGACATCCCTCCTCTCGATCTTGGTGGCAATCGGGGGTTCCACCTGCAGAAGTTCCTCCCCGGACTCCCTGGCAGCCCTACCCCTACCCCTGAGTCCCCCAAGTCTCTCACTGTGCCTGAGAATATTCTTCCCCACAACCTTTCCCTTTCTGACTTTCCTCTTAGCCTTACGCTTGAGTCCCCTAGGGCTCTTAACACTTGGACTCTTAATAGCACTCTTAACGATTATCCTGGGTGCCTCGAGTTTGTGATCAACAAGATCACACCATCCAACAGGATATATGTCAGGACTCTGGCAATCAAGCCACTGATCATACTCGTCCTCCCATCCATCAAAATGCACCCTGAGGAGTCTTCCAATGACCCTCGTGATCGTGGCAACACAGACAAGCCTGGGATCCATGAGATCAGCAGCCTCAAGCCTCATCCCCTCCACGAATCCATGCTGAGGTACATCTCGATTGAACAACTGTACAGGAGCTGGAATTGTATTGGATTCACTGAGATAACTGTCCCAGGTGAATGCTGTGGGATCATAGCCCTTGGGTGGAGTCAGAGGTAGCCCATGCTGTGCACAAAAACCAATAGGAAAAATACAAGGTGAACTGACATTGTAGCAGAACCAATCAGCACCACTGGTGTCCTCATCATAACTATCAATTCTTATCATGATATAATCCTCCTTGAGCACTTGCATGATAGTAGCAGCACAAATGGCTGATAAATTGAGTGGATCAATTGCCTCTATCTTCATTCCCTCCCTGAACGTGTACCCCAGTGCGAGATGATGATTCTTTGGCACATGAAAGAGGCCCTCAGTGGCATCATCCTGAGACAGCCTCCCAGTATCAATTCTCTCCAGATATTCAGGATAAGCATCCAGTGACTGACCCACTCGTTTAGCCCATCCCACTGGATGAATCAGAGGTGAATCCTCGTGACACCAGAATCCATTGTCCTCTGGGGATGAATCGTAATATCTCACATGAAGACGTTTACCCACGATTTTATAAATTGTCGCCACTTTAACCTGCGATATTCGATTCTTATCTACAACCTCCAGATGCTGGCCACACCTAAATCTCGATTTCATACTGTCATTGACTTTGTTGTAGAAATTTGTTGGAAGTGTTCTAGCACCTGTGAGTCGTCTCATGAGGAAGTCCTTCCAGTCTTTGTACTTGTTGGATATTGAGTTTGGTGGTATGAGTGGTTTGCCAATCGTGGCACACCATCCCACTGGGTGAATATCATTGGAGCACAAGGATACCCAGAAGTCCTTCTCTGAGTTGTGGCCAAAGCCCTCGTACCTCAGTAGAGCACGATAACCCGAGATCCTGAGAACTGTTGCAACCCAGAATGAGTCGGGAAATGCCTCGCACACTTCGTCGCAGTCAGTATTCTCCACTTCGACTTTCATTCCCACTGTTATGTTGTCCCATATCTCTGATATTGGTGCGTGCTTGAAGCAAGAGACTGGTGCAGCACAGAATCCTGGCTCAGTGAGCTGGGGAGTCCAGTCGTAGCTGCCAGCCATGTCAGCTGTTCTTTTTCGTCTCACTGGAAGCTCATCAGGCATCACTGGCTCATTAACCACTTCCTCCATCTCGTTTTCACGTTTAATGCAGTCGTTGGAGATTGTTGAGTCCTCCTCGTCGCTTCTCTTGGGTTTTGTCTCTTTTATCAATGGCTTTGGAGGATTTGGTGTCTCTGCTGGTGGATCTGAGCTCGTCGATGTGTCTGATGTGTGTGATGGACTTCTCGTTGAGTCTGCGTTGGTGCTGTTGTGCTCTGACGATCTGGCACATGCACGACTGCAAAATCTACGCTCTTTTGTGTAAAATGCGTGCTTCACACCTATTGCACCACATTTTTCACATACTGCGATGCCGTCTTTGCGGATTGGAATGAAATTGAGATCTGTGTGGGGCTGGTAAGCTATTGGGGTCTTCAGCACTAGGTTTGGATGCTTTATTGGCTTGATTTTACGATTTCTACAGCATTGGGTTGTCTGGGTTGCTGCGTTGTTCACTACCATTTCCATCTGCTCTTCCTCGATGTAATCGTCCAGGGTGAGGTACTCACTCATTTCTGGATTATCTTGCTGGGGTTCGTACTCCTGCAATTCGATTCGTTTATTTAATTCCCTTCTACCCCGAAAACTATTGATTCAACGAAAAAATGATGAGGTACTTTTTTGTATTTCTTTGAATTTCCGAGGAAAAATATTTATTCATATTTTCCTTTAAAACCTCTACTTTTATAGATAAACCCATATTTAACACGAATAATTGAATTATTATAGAAAAATTGAAATAAGAACGAATGCATTAATTTATTACAAGTGATTAATCATTTTAATTCATAAAAATTCAGAGGGAATCGATAAGTTCAGTTTTGTTTATCAATTTGACGATAAAAGTATTAACAAAAAGGTTTTTTCTTTAAATCTGCAATAAAATGTGCGATCCCTTTTCCTCGCCGTAAATCAATAGAGTCATTGAGAGTCAAATCGTCGATAATAAATCCCAGGAAAAGGTAGTGAGGTAATAAAATAGTGTAATTTACGAACCACTGGGAATTTCCACTTTTACTATCTTACCTGATGCATGTCTTGTCCATCAGGAGGCTCCATGGTTTCTTCAGTTTCCGAGCAATCATTAGTAAATTGCTGTGGCATATATCTGACCATTGTTGTCTGTGCCATTTGATGATTTCTAATATTATCAAATGCATGGGATCCATGAGTGAAATATGGACTCTCAGCCTGTCGTGGATCCAGCATTAGCTCGTGACTAGGTTCACCATGGACCATCATGTCACCCATCCATACCATTCCCAGTTCGGGAATACCAGGGATGGAGGCGTACACTGGATTCACACAAACATTCATTCCTAATTAAAATTAAAATTTATAATTTGTTAAATCATAATTTAAAAATCATAAGATTGGGGGAGACATATTCGAGTGGCAATATCTTCAATTTATCATCCAAGAACTGCATTTTTCGTCATTTATTATCGAGTAATTAATTAATTTATCTATTATTTATCGTTGTTCAATTAATTGTTCGTATTTTTTTTGTTCCTCATGTATTCGCTCCAAACATTCGACTGGTTTTGAAATTTTTTTCACCGAAAATATCGAGGTAGAATATTGAGGTGGAATTTATAAAAAATTGTTGTTAACAATTGATGAAATTTATAATTATCAGCGGCGGGACATTCAAACGATCCGAGAATCTCTCGTTTATTCCGTGAAAAATCGACAGAAACGCAATTCCTTGAATTCCATTCGCCTATTCTCCCCCGAAAAAAATAATCCCAAAACATTATAAATTAAATCAACAAATCAAGGGTTTACAGAAACTATTTCTACATCCGAATTACTAAAAATATCATTCATTTAATTAGACGAATTGTGATTACTCTCCCCTCGAATCAACCAGCGTTATGAATCTGTTTCGTAATTCTCAAACTAATCTAAAAATCCATCAGATGTTCCTGATTAAATCAGTGTCATTAATGACGAGGAAATACTCGTAATTAGAGTGACGATAACAGTATTTTCAAGTCGACAGAGAAATGGAATGAGAGACCAGAAGATAGTGATTGATTGGAAAATTTTTTGAGGTGAAGAAAAATGTTAAAAGACGAAATTTTGGTGATTTTTGTGATTTTGATTTGGGGCTAACAAAAACAGGGGGTTGAGGGGAAATTTTGGGACGCCAGGCGTCGGACAGAGCCCCAGGTTCATTTAACCTTTTTCCAGGGGTGGGGGAAAGTCGGGACAGGCCTCCGAGTCATACGAACTGTCAATTCGAGGGTAAAAAATAGAAAAAATTAGGTAATTGTGGGAGTGGGGGGTGTTTCAAGTGTTTTGGTGATTATTTTAATGGGATTATGTGATGAATGTGTTTACGAACCGTTCGGTGCCTGCATGTCCATGACAAAGAGTCTCTGACGGATTAATCGAGCGATTCCATCCGTTATTACTTTTGCTATTACCGCAACCAGTGTCTCTTGCACTTCATACTCTTCTTCACGATCAATTCCAGATACATTATTGGCCGGTGATTTTGTGGGCCGACTCGTGGATTATCGCACTGGAATTCTTCTCATATTTTCTTTTTTTTTCGGCTTTTCGTTTTTTTACTCTTTTTTGAGAGCACTGCACCACTGGTCGAACTATTGGGCAAAACATCGAGCTTCACGCGTTCACCGCTTCATCCCCTCTTTCTAGCCCCTCGGATTTCCGGCGTCGCGGATGGTTTTCATGAAATCGCGGGAAATTTGAATTCTCTTTAACTCCATTCTTTACGGGTTTGTTAGGCCTTTTTTTCGCAGAAAATTCATTCGTTTTTCATTTGGGATTTTTCAATTTTCAATTTTTTTTCGATTCTATTTTTTACGGGTATTTTGGAATTTTGGGAAGTAGGTGCTTTTCAATTTCAGGAAGTCTTTATTTTCCTCAGTGGATTTTTTTTTAATGGAATTTCAAGTTTAATTGAAAAGTTATGAATGACATGCGAAATTAATTGTGATTAGTCCCTGATTATTAATTCCATCATTTTTTTAATGAGAAAATTGGTATCATAATTTATTCATAATTTTCTTTGACTAGAAAATCGTGAGCCAATGGATTTGAATGAACTTTGACTTTTTCAAATTTTTTCATTATAATTTTTAACTTCAACTCCAAAGTTATGAGATGCGGAATTACTGGTCGTGTAATGATAAGGATAGCCTTGCCGACTGTGGAAAAAATAATTAAATCAGTCAATTAGATATTCAAAAAAAAAAATCCCCCGCCTCCTCGAAGATGTTATGTGCCTGATACGTGACTTTCAGTTTCCAATCGACAGTTTGTGCGATATTCACGACGCAGATATAAAAATTGAATTGCTACCAAGTAAGAAAATTATTATTGCTCATAAACGACAGGACCCATATCCCCAGCAACCAGGTTCGTCGAAAATTATCAGACCATTTCAAATTGTTCCCACAAACATTAAAAAAACCATATCCCACCTGTACCGCAAAAATGTTGAGAAAAAAAAATGTAACTGCAATTCCCGCTGAACCATTTGAAATTCTCCAACTGTCGAATTGATAAATCGCATCTTAAATTCGCAGGAAATGAAATTCTAATTTTTTTTATATAATCTCCAATGATTCTTGTATTTAATAAATAAAATAAAAATGCATGGAGAAAAAATCGAATCCAGAAAATAAAAAAAAACGCTCTAAATTTCCTCAGATTTTTTTTTGTATATAATATAATGATTTTCATTTCCTAATTAGTGAATTGAAGAATTATTTCTAATTAGAAAATAAAAATGATGAAAAACGTTATAACCTTTTTGCTTCTAAGGATGGTCCCAACCGATCTCACCCTCCAGGTGCCCTGGGGTCACGTGTCGGCGTTGTCCTGGGGATTGTCTTCAAGGCCAGGAGTTCTCCTGGTCCATGGTACCCAGGACAACGCAGGTTCGTTTACTCGTCTGATTCAACTCCTCCCCCCGACGTTCCACTACGTGGCCATCGATCTCCCAGGGCACGGCTTCTCCTCGCACTTCCCCCAAGGTATGAACCTGGACTTCTTCAACTTCGTCCTGACCATCCAGTACGTCCTAAACGAGCTGAAATGGAAGAACTGCTTCTACATAGGGCACAGCTTCGGTGGAACACTGGGAGTCATGTTCTCCATTCTTTTTCCCGGTCGACTCCAGAAGATCGTCACCGTCGACTCCCTCATCCCCGTTGCCTACGAGTACGAGCAAGTCCCCGATCGTCTGAAAACCGTCTTTGATGCCACCCTCTTCGACCTCCAGAGGAAGGAACCAACTCTCTACACCAGGGAACAGGTTCATTAATTCAATAATTTCGTTCTCGCTTAATACCTCTGGATCGGAGGGAGATACAGGAATTTTTATCATGACCTTTTCGGTAGAACAAAATGAGAGCTACAGGAAAGGTAATTATAGAAATTTCTGTATCTCCCTCAGATCCGGAGATATCCCTCGAAAATGACGTCAATCGAGTTGTTGCTTTATTTTTTTTTGCTGTAATTTGCAATTAATTTGCAATGAAATTGAAAAAATGTATTGAAAAAATATATTGAAAAAATAAGGAAAATAATGAATGACCCTTCGGTCAGGTGCTCGATGCAATAATGAACAAGAGACAGTTCAGCCTGTCTCGAGAAGCAGCTGAAGCCCTGATTGTGAGAGCTGTCACTCAAGTTGGGGACAAATACAGATACAACCGGGATGTCAGGATGAGAGCTCACGTCGGCCTTTACTTCGTAGAGGGCCAGAACTTCGAGTTCCTCAAGCGTCTCAGGACTCCTGTGATGGTGATAGTCGCCAAGAATTCCTGGTTCGGACTCGTGAACAAACTCCCAGTGGTGATGATGTACGCGAAAAAATTTTCAGACGTCCTAACCCTCGTCCACGTCGACGGCAATCACGATGTCCATAATAATAATCCGGAGAGAGTCGCCCCACACGTCCTCTCCTTCTTCGGCAACGGTACAACGAGCAAATTATGAGGAACAGATATTTTCGTGATTATCCCGTGGATAATTTATTTAATTATCTCATTAACCAATTCAAGATTCAATATCATTTCATTATAGTTGAATTGTTTTCCATTTACATCGGCTCTAATTATTACAGCCGTTTATATTCCTCAATTCTGTAATTATCCAACTAATCAATAAATGCAGTTATTTATCTAATTGAATTGTCTCTAGATTCTATAATTTCTAGATTATTTTTTACTACGAAAAAAATTCCAAAGGTAATGTTAAAAAATTGAAGTAAATTATTTAGAACTCTATGCTATTATTTATAAAAATCCACTTTAATTCTCCCCAATAATCCTCCATAAATTTAAATCATTGGCACCAGGATGTTAAATAAAGAATCCACATTATAAAAATCACATAGAAACATTTATTACACCCATACATTTCACGAAAGGAGAGTAACCCTGGTAAGTCCCTTCATCTGTAAGACCTTAAATCTGACATTCTCGCGCCTCTGGACAATGCCCTTGAGATCATCCCCAAGTACAATAGCTGAATGATTCATGAATGAGTTGTCTCTCCTGGAGCTGATGCAGTTGTCATCATCGAGATGAATAGTGTACCAGCAGATGAGAACATTGGGAAGTACATCCCCCTGGATTATCCCAAAATCAGCGACCGCAGTTGTGGCATTGCCCTCGTCAATCTGGACGAGAACCCTCTCCTGGGTGACCTCTTCGTAGTTATAGAGTGTGGAGTCAAGATCAAATCGTTGCCTGCAGGAGTAACGATTGACAAATTCACCGAGAACGTAGTCAGATGATCCAAGTGATCTCTGAACATTATTGTCATCAACGAACACCATCCTGGGAAGATCCTCGGAGTGTACGAGCTGACCGATGAGAAATATCTTACTGGGGAGCATAAAGCCATCGGTTGCGAGGGTGAGTCTCAGGGCGTCGTACAAACTGGGTTCACTCCAGTCATTGATCTCCCCTTGAATGCTGAAATTGTGATTGAATATTACATCCAAACACCTGTCTATCTCGTCGATGCTCTCGACAATACAGATCCTCTCCTTGTCGATTCCACTCTGATCAGCGATTCTCAGGATCAATTCACCCAGCTGCTCAGTCTCAGCGTAACAGTACACCCTCAGTACATCCTCATTCCACTTGAGCATCTCCAACCCATAAACTGGAAATGGACAGGCGTCCAGGATAAATCGGCATCTGTTGTCTCTGTGGGACTTGGCAACTCGGGATATGGCGGTGACGTAGTCCTCGTCATTCAGGAACATTATGACATGCTGGGGGATGAAGAAGAACCCTTTGCACCTTCTCCAGGTTGAGTTCTCGGGGCTCTCCTTTGGGAACTCGTAGATGCAGTGCAATTTCTCCTGCCACAACTCTGTCACGATCTTCAACTCCTGATTCAATTGGCACTTCACTGGCTTGTCAGCGAATACTGCGAACTGCCAGCATGAGTCCTCCTCCGAGGTGTCCAGGATATTCTCCTCATCGAGTTGAAGCCTGAACCACGTCACAACACCGTCGATCATTCCATTCCTCTTCACCTTGACTGAATGAATATTTTTCATGCCCTGAGTGTGAAGTTCCTTGAGTTGAGTCAAATTATTGAAGTCCACTCGAAGTACCTCGACAGGATCTGTCATGTAGAGTGTCTCCTCCTGCTTGAGGCTGATGGCATCGTAATTTTTGTTATCGGAGTAGATATCGATCCCTGTGAAATTCAGGGTGACATCGGATTTGGCTGTGACAAACGACATGAAACGAATCTGTGGACTCTCGACAGCTGCGGCGAAGACAGTTGCTCTCATGGGGAGGACAATTCCATCATCGGCGAGGAGGTGTTCGTGGGCATGGATGAGACTCGAGAGGACGAGTTCCCCGAAGACTCCAGCATCGAAGGTCTCCGTGACGATGAGCCTTACCCTCTGGATGATGTCTTTAGGAACTTGGAGGGCTGTTGAGTGCTGGGGGAGGAGTGTTATGTCATTGCTGTTATTCCTGGAGAAGACTTTGGCAGCGATCAGGGACATCTCTGTTGAGAGCTCGCAGGCGAACACCCGGAGGGCTCCAGAGTCCCTGGCGTAGAGGGACAGGAGACCACTGCCTGTACCGATGTCTAGGACTGTTGTGTAGCCCTGGGAGATTTTGTTGGAGATTGCTCTCTCGTATCTCGTGTTTCGGACTCGATCGTTCAGCATTGGAAAATGCCAACGGTCTATCAGCAGGTTATAGGCGTAGTCCTGGTTCCACTCGGCGGGGAGGAAGTCTGGGGAGACCGATAGGGCACGTCTTAGGTATGGAAGAGCCTCTCTCGGGGAGTCTTGTCTAGAAGAAGAGACAGAGATTTTTCTGGGTGTCAAAGACGAGTTGGCTTTTTTATTTTTTGTTTCAACTTGTAGGCAGATCAGCAGCTGATCAGCCTGAGGAGCTGATCTGATATTTTTTGGGACTGACTTTTCTTAAATTTAATTATTCCATCAACCAACCTGTCATCTCAAATTCACCTTGCGGATGATTAAAATAATGAACTAAATTCTAGAAAATAAAACCACAAATTACCTTATCTCCGGAAAGAAAAGAATGTTATTGATATCTTATTGATGTACCTCAGGTAATGTGCAGCGCAATTATTGAGCATTCGTGGATTCTCCGAAAAAATCTCCAGAGATCTAGTGTAGCACAGAACAGTCTTTTCAAAGTCAACCTTCTCCAAATCCATTCCCCACTTGCCTGATAAAAAATCAACAGTCAAATAAATTCGAAACAAAAATCAAAACATCTAATTAAATAACAAGTATTTCAGTTACTGGTCAATATCTCATAAATGAACAGAGATACAGGAATTTTCGTGAATACCTTTTTTGTAGAGCTATAAACGGTATAACAGAAAGGTTCATATCAAAATTTCGGTATCTCCTTCCGTTTCAAAAATATTCACCGATAATTGGGACTAATCAAGACATTGTTGAGATCAGTGCAAGAAAGAAGAATAGTTATTATTAATTAATAAGAGGTTTTGTTTACGTACACAGGACATCAGTAAATTCCTGCTCGACCTCAGGTCTTCTGTCAGGTGCCAATTCCACGACAGCAGTGTAATGAGCATATGCATGACCGTAATTACCCGCCGCCCTCAGCCTTCTCGCCTTCTTCAACGACTTCTCCACGAGATCCTGTATTTCCTTCTGCATCCTCAACTAATCTACTATAAATAATTAAAATGAAAATAATTATATCAACACCGAGATGTTGATGTTTACCGGTCTACCTAAGGGGAATCCCCACCAGACGACCGTAGCCCAGGGTGGAGATAAGCCCTTACTTTTCCAACAATTGGCAACTTTTAAAATAAATAAAAAAATTCATAATAAAAAATTAATTAACAATCTAGTGAAAATGAGACTTGAATTAAATATTCTCCTTAATCATTGATTTATCTCGAGAATCGTCAGTCCTATGCGAGAAAATCAAAAATCTATTTTGAAGCTAATTAAATTTCCGATAAAAAAATCCTCTAACATTTTTTTCTAAAATCAATAGTTTCCAGGATATATCGATTTTTAAGACAGAATACACGATAAATAGTTTGTAAGCTAACTTTAAACAATTGGTAAAAATTCAAATTTTCCCACGTCGCTGGAATGTGCATCGAACAAAATCACGACTAGTGCGCACGAGGTACATTTTAGGTTGATTTTCAACTCTGAACTCTCGAAAGGTACCAAACAGCTGATCCATTCTGGCGTTAGAGAACCCGCAGCAACGACCACATGTTTGTGCCGCAAAGTGTCGCATAATTATTGTAATTCCCGGGCAAGTAATGACTGTGATTCCCCAAAAATAATTCCAATAAATTGTGAAAACTGGAGTGACTGTATTTCGAGTAAAGTGGAATGCGTTAGAGCCCTCGTATCCCGGGATAATCGGAATAATATCGCATAACGTAGACGACATTGCGCCCCTTTTTTCAATTTTTCGTTTTCCTTTTTTTGAAATAAAATGGCTGACCGTGATAGCGCATCGGAGAGTGATTCGAGCTCGATTGATGGTGGCCCAATAATGATGCCACCCTCGCCGGTAACACGTGAACAATTGCAGAAGAGGATTGAGTCACTTCAGCAGCACAATCGTGTCCTCAAGGTTGAGTTGGAGACGTACAAGCTCAGGGTTAAGGCACTCCAGGAGGAAAATCGTTCGCTACGACAAGCCTCTGTCATCATCGTGAGTTTGAATTTGATGACGATACTAATAATAATGATCAATTAAAAGCAAAACGATCAAGACTTTCCAATTAAAAAAAAAGAAAGCACCAGACAATGGAGAACAAATAATTTATTGAATAAAAACTCTGGAAATTTTGTATTTCAGCAAGCGAAGGCAGAGCAGGAAGAGGAGTTCATCAGCAACACTCTCTTGAAGAAAATCCAAGCCCTGAAGAAGGAGAAGGAGACCCTGGCCCACCACTACGAGCAGGAGGAGGAATGTTTGACGAACGATTTATCCCGAAAGTTGAATCAACTTCGCCAGGAGAAGTGCAAGCTCGAGCAGACGCTGGAGCAGGAGCAGGAGTGCCTGGTGAACAAGTTGATGAGGAAAATCGAGAAACTGGAGGCTGAGACCCTCGCCAAGCAGAGCAATTTGGAGCAGCTGCGGAGGGAAAAGGTTGAGCTGGAGAACACACTCGAGCAGGAGCAGGAGGCACTTGTCAATAAATTGTGGAAGAGGATGGATAAGCTGGAGGCAGAGAAACGCATGTTACAGATTAAGCTGGATCAGCCGGTATCTGATCCAACATCACCCAGGGATCTCAATAATGGTGATACAGCAACTAATCTCAGCACTCACATACAAACACTGAGGAGTGAAGTGGCTCGATTGCGACATACACTTCTAATCTCACAACAAGAACGTGAGTTCATGTCGTTTTCCATTTAATCTAACTTAATTATTCATTTATCCATTTTAATTAATTTATCCATCGATCTTTAAAAACCTCTAGCTCAATCTAAACAGCTGTTTACTTCTTCTCGCATTCACTCGACTCTCTCTAGCTATTTTGGGAAATCTTCTCTTAACTGGAATGCCAATATTTGTATTTTTAGATACCGAAAAAATGCAACGGTACGTCAATGAGGAGAAACATATTCGTGAGGAGAATTTGAGACTCCAGAGGAAATTGCAGCTGGAGGTTGAACGCCGTGAGGCACTTTGCAGACATCTGTCAGAGTCTGAGTCCAGGTAATTTACTCTAGCAATTAAAATCAAATCCACAGGTATTTCTCAATGTTTTTTTATTTTTATTTTTTCAATAGTTTGGAGATGGAGGAGGAACGTCACTACAACGAAATCGTAATGTCTGGTAGCAATATTAGAAATCGCACAGTATCGAGTCCAGTGCCATACAATCCATCTCCAAGCTCATCAAGACCTCTCAGTCCAGGTGTCAATGTCGTTGGTTCGACATCTCGTGATAGCTTCACGTCCAATCGATGCTTTGCCTGTGGTCAGACTATGATGATACCATTTTCTAGTTCTCCACCACCAGCAGGCGTATGTATTCGAGTTTATAATTAATTCCACGTTATTCCGAATGCATAAAATTTTTTATTCAAATTTTTCGATGTATCAGGCTCACATAGGACCAGCCCCAGGTAGACGCACTTCGGACAGATTTGTAAAGCCAGCAATTCCCCCAACTATTGTGAGCCCTGGGGTACCACCTCTAGCACCACCAACAGTCAATACATCTGCTGGCTCTCCCATGGACATCGCCAAAACATAAGTTTCCCCTCATTACCCTATTCCCATTGACATATAATCGGTAAAAGGTATCCCTCTATTATTTTTCGTTTATTCATATTCGTATTCACTTCTGAGGAAAAAATACGTTTTCTTCTCTCGTTTTTTTTTTTTTTTTGGAAGACGAAAGGGGGACGTTATGATATTTTATTCGTATCGATCAGAAGAATTATTCACTGGAGTCCTGACGCAGTCTCTGCTCTCACGCGATTATCTCCCACGGCAGTTATTTTAGAGGTAAATGTCATAAGATATTTTTTGTTGCTCGGGAAATTTCGAATGAAAAAGTTATTTACCATTTTACTCGGAGATCACCGGTTCTCGAGGTAATTCGGCTACTCGGAGGTGACTTGAGAAATTTAGGAGCGAAGGGAAAGGGTGATGGGTTTATCTCGCTCATCGCCAAGAGAACAAGTTGACTTATTACACTTTATCTTTTGCTCTTGAAATTATTGATTGCATGAATTAATTTGAATAGCTTCACAGCTGGGGAGTTAATCGCAGTATTGAATGCCCACTAAACTCCTCAGTTCCTAGACTCCCCACATTTTTCCTCGCTCGAAGTTTAAGTGATAATCGTGTTTTTTTTTTCAATTAAAACTTAAAACGAAAAATGAAAAAAAAAAAAAATAATTCTCACGAGTAATCCAGTATCATAATGTCAAAATAATTGAATGTTTGTGTGTGTCGCTTGTACGCTTCCACAGACCTTATAATCTCGATGTAGGAAAATTAAAAATCACTAGGAGCTCATATTTTCAACGAAAGCAAAAGTCATTAAAAAATCTCATTACCACTATCCAAGCAAATAAAGTAAAAAATAATAATAATAATAAATCAGCACGAAAGTAATGAAAAGTCCTAACATTTCAAAACAATAAACAATTATCCCCGAGAGTAATAGAAATAACAGAATAAAAGATTAATGGTGATAAAGTTTGAATGTTAAGTCTTGTATACCTATATTTTTCTCGTTTATATGAAATCGCCTAATTGATAAAAAAAAATGTACTACTATGGATTAATAACTGTGTTGAAAGTGGGTATGTTACTGGATCAATTTAATATTTATGACTAAATATTAAATTATTAAAAATACGAGTCATGGGACGTTTATCCACATCTAGAAATCAAATATAAGGTCATGAGGATGGGTTATACGAAATTATAAAAGTGTTAGTGAGTGTAAACTGATTTGAAAGCCTCAGAATCACATTTTGCTGGTGTTTTCGTGATTATCGTTGTCTCGAGAGAATGAAAATTCAAAATATTATCGATTTTACCTCAGTTTTGTTCGCAAGTCAGACTCTGAGACAAAATCCTAGCTGCACGCGGAGGTTGAGGAGAAAATGTCACTAAACATTTTATCTGGGAAATTAAATTCTCCACAAAGAAGGTGTAATCTTTTACGTAGATCCACCGGCTTGTGAAGTATTCGCGTTTTTCTCTCCGATTTGCTTCTACAATTTTTTTTTCGATGATTTTAGGTTTTTAATTATTTTTTATTTCATAATAACTGGTAGCTTATGGGTAAATGAGTATATATGGTGAGAATACGATGAGGATTATTGATACTCTCGAATTGCATCGTAAACTGCCACAGAAAACTCGAAGACAAATTAGTTTTTTTTTTCGATTCGATGAGCATTTTTTATTTTTCGTCGCGAGTTGCCATTAGAGGCACCTGTGACAATTGCAGATTTAACTGTCGAAGTGGTAGAGCATTACGAATTTGCCTAAAAAAAACAGAAAGTCCAATAATTCATGTCTCGATAAGACTGTAATTATCTCGACCCCGAATAGTTGAGGAAAAAATAAAGAAATTTCCCTAGAAAAATGATCTTGAAATCAATAAAAAATTTATAATTTCGTGAGCAAACAGTAGATGTTGTGATCTCGGTGCTTAAAAAATACAGTGAATACTGTAAAATCCAAGAATATTATTGAAATAGTGAAATTTTACTCGTTTGCAGCACAAATCGAGCTTTTAAAATCTCGAAAGAAGCATTTCTCATCGTAAAAATATTTAAATTATAGTTTCAACATTTCCTAATGCATTCTCGTGAGAAACAATAATCTGTTACTGATTTTATCATTTTTATTCGTGTATTATAATTATTCTTTATGTACCATCACTCGTTTTGCTATTACCTTTGGTTTTAATGAGAAACAATAAATATCTGAAAATTGAGGTACGTGTTGAAATTAATCGACTCCTTATTTTATCATTTTTATTATTTATCATTTGAATTTGGAGAGATTTATGTGGTTCTGCTGACTATTGTCAACAGACCCGTCCACATAGCGAGGGAAATTGAGTCCTCGTAGGTGCTGGGCCAGCTGAGGATTTTGTCCAGGGGCCAGAGAATCCCCTTCGGAAAAATCACCACAGGTTCAGTCCTGTATAACTTCAGCATTATCAATATAACGAGTCCCTACGGAACAAAAAAATCATTTCAATTCAACAAATTTATTATTTCGTCGAGGAAGCATCTTACGTTGAAGACTCGAGCTGAATAAGTGAAGAATAACACAGCCTTCGCCCTAGCCGACATCCTGACTGACACTGCGAGTCCAAATATTAAATAAATAATCATCAACAAGAAGAAAATAGAAATAATCCTCGATTCATCGTGAAGTGACAAAATTTAGTTCAACATTTTTATTAATTACCAGTTATCTCGAGAACGATCGATCTGGGGTGAAAGTGTTACAGAACTTTTTTGTAGTGTATAAAATTGATGATAAAACAGGTCTAATGAAATTTCCCTCTAGAATCACTAGTTTCCGAGATAAATGGATAAATAAAAAATGGATAAAACTCTGATGAACTCAGATTATCATAGATAATTCAATGAAATTTCCGAAAATCATCAAACCTAGATTTTTAAAATCCTCTCTGAGTTTCGTATGCTTTCTCTGCACCTTCGTGTATCTCGAGAATTCATCAACCATCGAAATACTCGACATTTCCTGTTCCAATTTGATCATTTCACTCCGCAAATTTTGTTCCCCCTTGGGCTCAGAGAAAAACCACCCAACGATCTGCCAAAAAAATGTGAAGAAATAGCAATTAACAATTCAAAACATTGCCAACAACAACTGATTACCAAACAATTGTAGCACTCACGTATTTAATCACCGAAGGGATCACATACGAGAATAAGTACAAGGAGGTAGATATAATGAACAAAGTGCTCATCTTAACCTACAGGCAGCACTAATTTGTTATTTATAATAAGGATTATAAGCAAAATTGGAGAATTTCCACAGGTTATCTTTCTTCCTGTGAGAGGACAGGTAACTAACGAAAGGGGCGCCACATAAATTCAAACAGGGAAATGAAAAACAGCTGTGAATAAGGCCCGGGTGGAGGGATTTTTGCCCGACATGTCCCTAGGGAATTCCCTAGAAAAAACGCGTTTTACGGGTAACTAAATGCCAGCCCCTGTAGGCCCTCAAAAAATATAATGATAGGGTCAATCGACAGATCATCATTTTTGCCGGGCCGGTAATTAGGTCTCAGGGGTGGGAAATTGAGGAATGAACGTGTAAATTACGTTCAAAGAGACCCCCTAGATTTCACCAAGATG